GAGAGGTATCTTGAAGTATAAAAAGCATTCCTTGTTCTTCTCCTACAACTGTGCATTGTAGTCTCTCTGGTTATTTAATTCCTGGTATTCTTGGTATCTCACTTCATTTTCTGAATCTGGTTTGTTGTGCTGATTTAGCAGGTATGTGGAAGCCCCATCCCAATTGACATTCACTGAAAAATTCCACAGCCTATTGGACAGCTAAGTTATTTCAGGCGTTCATAGGCTTCTAAAGCGTTAGGTCCCCAGCATATGCTTCCATAGAAAGGTTTCCAATACATCAGCCCTCAGGCACACACACATGCACATGCAGTTTTCCATTCCTAATCAATCTTCTGCAGCTAAGTGGCTCTTAGTTAAATGTGAGAACCCTGCTGTTGTGTTGCACCACCAACAATATATAAAATGCTGTCGAGCACGAGAACAGGTATTTCCAGTTCCTTGATCCTCCCTCTGCACAGCAGAAGAGTTTCTGGACCCTGCAGGCTGAAGTTTTCCCAGCCCTGCACTCAGTATTGACCTCACATCCTACCCAGTGATGAAATCAAAGTACTGCAACCTGCAGGCCAGCGCTTTCCTCTCCCTTCTCAACTGGTTACAAATAAGGTCTGGTTTATAAAATCGTGTTTTTTCCAAAATAATTATTTCCAAGAATCACCACAAATGGGGGAATTGTCATTTTTGTTGTATTTGTGTTTATTAGAACATATGTACTTATTACAATTGTCATTGTAATAAACAGTAGTTCTTCATAATACTGTTGAAGAGCAGTTACTAATTTTTTTCCAGACTCCAGAATGTCCTTTAACCTTTATGGGATCTCTGAATGGGGCAAGGAGTTTGGGATCAGGCTATAAATTTAATTTAATCAGCACGTCTCTGCTTACTGGAGTTCATCCTTCTGCCAATACTTGAGCAGGTGCATGGAGAGCACTTCAAGGGAGAACATTTTTCTGAAGGTGCAAATGGTTGGGGTTGCTGAGCTCCCTTCATAGCCAGGCTGTTGTGCCTCTCTTCTTTTCTCTCTTTTGAAGCACATATGAAAAAAAAATTAAAAAGCTGAAGTTCATTTCCTGAAAATTCCTTGCATCCTGTTTCTGATCTGAGAACCATAGCCCCCTCACTGCTTGTATCAAGGGGGGAGTGACTGATGTAGGGAGCCAGGGCAGTGAAATTCTTTGGGAGCACCAGAAATGTGGCTGTGCTGAGGGGAGAGCAGTGTTCTGAAACGGGGAAAGAGTTGTCCTTCCCCCCACCCCCTGTGAGTAACCCATTCTTCTGTTATGGTTTTAATATGCATTTGTAATTACCTTTACTAAATAGCACACCATAAAGCTTTGGTTATATATTAAATGTAAACTGAAAGGAATGTAAACATATGTATTGTTAATTATAAATAGATAAGTAATGGCATAATAGATACAAAAAAGTCTTATTCAGATGTATCAGTCATTTTACATTATCCACAAACTGTCGCATGATAGAGTAGATTTTTGTCTGAATATGTGAATAACTTGACTTGCGTTTATCTTTTTACATATTTAATAAAAAAATATATGTTAAAATCTGTCTAGCTCTAGAGACTATTTGGAACATTCTAAAATAATAATTTTCTGCATTAAATACATATTTTTGATTCATCAGGGGCTGCATATGGGAGCAGGAAGAAAAAGGCAGCTGCTTTAAAAACCCAGAAGTTCACTTACCCTGTGTGTGTGGATAGCATCTGTTTCCCCAAGAGCTCAGCAACTGTATTCCCTTTTATAAATCAAAACAGAAAATGCATGTATGTATGTGCATGTAAACAGCACATTTTTCTTTATGGTAAATGCTTTCAGATTTTGGAGTGCTACTCCCTTGGGTATCAGTCTGAAGCAAAACTGGCAGCAGCCAGGAGGCAAAGACAGCACTACAGAAAGGTACCAAATCTCCCAATGGGCTTCCTTGCAGTGACCAGGTATTCAGGGATGAATCTTCAATGGAATACCTAAAAGTTGCCTAGATTTGAGATTAAAGCATGAGGTTTTGTTGGGAGAGAAGGGGGAAAATTTATTGTATTCTCACAGCTCTGGTTTTCTGTAGCTGCAGTAGCTGCTGCTCAAGCACAGGAGTTCTGAGCCTTGGATCAGGACCTTTTCCTCTGTGTTGAAGTGACCCTGTTTTGAGTCACCAGCCTGCACCCCTGCTCCAGGTGTCCCTGGGCCTCTGACAAAGGGGGGAGGACGAAGCAGAGACCAGAGGAGCCCATTTCCAACCCAGGTGTTCAAACCTGGGAGAGCAGCTCTTGTTTAGTTGCTTTTCATAAGACCGGGAGGAAGGCATGTCCTTGGGTTAGTGCAAATGCTCTAAAGGTAAAAAAAAACTATATATTTTCCAATTCAGATAGTTGAAAACTTTCTGCCATAATGTGACCAAAAAAATGTATTGTTAGACTGTCAGGTCATCTACATACCTGGCTTTGCAAAATAAATCTGTGACCGTACGGCCCTATGAACAAAAGCATTTTTCTTCCTATTCATTGAACCAGTTGTCATCTACAACAGCTAATAATTCAATATACACATTGTGCAATACATGATCCCTTTTTATACTTGTCTTTATACAGATTGTAGTGACAAATTGCTTTAAAGAGGAAAAAGAAAGTTATTTGCCACATTTTCATACAGAGGGTGAAAAAACTGGTCAGAGATTAATGTCCTTTAAAAGTCATACTCAATTTCTCTTTAGAAAGGTACAAGTGCAGGCAGGTTGTGGTAGTTCAAGTTTTATAATTTCATTTAATGAATATTTCAAAATACTCCATTCCAGTGCATCAAATTGCATTGCTTCTGTGACCTTTATTTCCAGCTGTTTCCTAAATAAGTGCAAAGCAGATGGAAAAAGGAAACCTGTCCACAGAGTTTCTCCTGTATGACCACATTCAATTTGGAGTTATTTTTGTTTATTGTATCCCAATTCTTCTCTAACCAGAATCTCCTCAACGCTTGTGATGGAAAGGTGAAATAGAAACTGCCTTTAAAAAGCAGGTGAGACTTTTGTGGCAGTGTATCAGATATGGATGTAGCATTTCACTTCATCAAATGTTGGGACTGCTGGGTGCATGCAGCAACATCAAACTCATCATTCCCCTTCAAATACAGTCAGAATGACCTTTTTTGACATCAAATAATGAGACTTCAGACTTACCCCAGGGGAGTCCTTGGGCAGTTAGGGAGCACCTCTGTGGACACCCCATGTTCTCTGGGCATCACACAGGGTAAGGGCATGGCTACCACACCAGAGAGAAGAAGCCTGGGAGATGCCTCCTGTGCTGGACCACAGTGGTGCCAAAGGACATCCTCCCTTCCCTGCCCGGCTCTTGGCAAAACCTCTGGCTCAGCACAACAGCATGACCTGTCCTCTCTGCCTGACTCACACCTGGAGCTGCTTGAACTGTGACTCATCTGATGTTTGTCTGGGGGGGTGGATTGCTCCATGTGCTTGTTTGGTAGGTGGAACATGGATTCTTTCAAACCTGAAGGAACCTTCCAACATTTCTGCTTTGTGAACAGGGGAGTTGATGTGCAGGCTTGTCCCCTGGTGCCTGTGGAAATCAGCCCTGCTGGTGTTGTGGTAGGGTAGGGCAACTGCTGTAACAGGCGGTACCAGCTTAAGCTGAAAGTGCTCAAACAATTTGCCAGTGCTCAGCTGAAAATATTAATGGGAGCTACTGATGTAAGGGTAAGTTAACTGAGGGGCAAAAATTATCAGGCTAGTGATAAACCCACAGAAATGGTCTAAGAACTGAAAAAGATGAACATCAGACTCAGCAGCTCAAAAACTGCACTTCCACCTGGCTTCTGGCAAGTGAGATGGTTAAATATTAATAAACATGCCAGGCTGTCAATCACAGCCCTCTGTGCTTACCTTGGGGAAGTGGACAGATTGTTTAATTAGTGCTTCAAGGCCACAAAAGCCCTCTGGCTAGGGCAGCGTATGAAAAGACATGAAACTCAAATTCTTACTCCCTCCTCCAAGGCACACAGAAAACCCACGTGTATTATAGATGAAAGGAGCCGTTTACATCTGCATGCATACATGTAATGTTTAAAAAAATTCTTGTTTCTTTTTCCTATGACATTTTCTAAAACCACAAGAATTTGCTTCAAGCACACAGGCAAATAATGACTTGTTTAACATTTTGTACTGGTAGATGATGTTGGACTGAAACTAGTTTTGAAGAGAAATATGCAAATCTTCCAAGGTTTGCTGGCCAAATTTATTTTCAGCTGTTTACCTTTGTAGGCTATATTGTTTGTTGCTACTGAAATATAAACAATGTGCTTGTTACTGCCTAGAAAATAAATAGAAGGGCCAGCTGCTGCTGTATTAAGCCTACATTTCTGACAGGTCAGCTGAGACTCAATGCTGAGAGTGGGGAAAAAAACTGTACATTTCAAAAACACTTTACTGTACCCATAGCTTTCTGAGCTCATTCTCTTGTCTTCACACATTCAAATGAGGTGAGGAAAAGACTAAATGTGCCCAAGCCTTTTAGGAGGTTGTGTGGAAGAAATGAGTTGTGAGAAAATAAATGTGGCAAATGAAGCTGGCACAGATGTGTGAGTGGGAAGGATGTACAGGGAGGGTTTGCATTGCTGAGGTCCCACTGGTGACTGGGGTGGGCAGAATCAGTGCTGGTTATAAACCACCAAAGATCTTGTGTAACCCAGCATGGATTTATCCAGGACTTTGGACACAGTGGTAAGGAGGAGGAAGACAAAAGAGAGGTGAGTAACATGGCTTGGTAAAAAGAATAAATATCAACAGAACAACTTGGTAAAGTTCTCTGCTGGACAGGCATCTTCCTCTGAGATGAGGCATCTGGCTGCATAGCTCATTGTTGCAGTGGTTCAGATATCTGTACTATTCTATTCTTTGGTTATTTTAATCAGATTCATTCCAACTATTTATCACATCAGAAGAGCTGCAAATCTCCATGTCAAGTGTTACAGTCTGATCATAGTGCAGGTGTTCACTCTTGGACACGTTTCTTCAGGGAAAAGATGTAAATGTTCAAGTGCTCACTCAGCTGCTTACCCTAAAGAGAAATCACAGAGATTAGCAACCTGTTTTGTACGTGCTTCACAATTCACTGCCTTTCCTCTCCCAGTGAGAGAGGGAGGACCCAACCACAGTCCTCACATACTTGGGGATCCCTGAGTACACAGGGACATGTAAGTATTCAAACAAGAGAGCTGTTTTCCTTATATTCCTCTTGCAACACACTCCTGTGAAGTTAAAAGGCTACAGACCAGATTCACAGGCGACATAAGCTGTGATGGAGCTGGGCCCCTCAGTCAGTTGTGAATTTTGGCCAGGTATTTCTATTCTGACCACCACCAACAGGCCCATGTTGATGCTTGGGTAGACTCTACTATGCCACCAATGTCTACTGACAAAAGGCTGCTTTCAAAGAAAAATCCTTCCATCCCATTGCTGTGGCTTAAATAAAAGAATGCTGACCAGCTCCCTCTGAAATGAGACCGTTGCCATGCAAGGTGTTTTATCTAAAAGCTAAAGCCTTTAAAACAGTTGCTAAAGGATCATTTGACAATTTAGAAAAGTGGGCATCAACAAAGTAAAACTCAATTAAAGCAGTAGTTCAGATGACAATGACAAGACTGAGATGTAACAGACACAAAAATGTGCTGCTAAGATTGAATGAACTGGAAAACTGTTCATGTCACCAGCTTGAGAGATGCTAGCAGAGGGCCAAGAAAAAAATTGGGACAGCTATTTTGCCTGCAGATTCAAAGCAAAGTTGACCTTATTTTATTATTTCTATTTATGTCACTTTGCATTTTACCTTTGTATTTTTTCAGTCAAGTGACCTTAGGAAGAAGAAAGGCAAAAAAAGAGAGGTGGATGCATGCATGCCTCATGGGTCGACCGCTACGTAAAACCAATCTATAAATATTCTGATTCTGATGGGTTTAAAGCTGAAACCAGTTGGCTACATTGGAATAATTCAAGTCACTGAAGTTGCTGCACATGCAAAAACGTATTACCTGCAATAAATTGATTTGGTTTTTTTTAACTTTAGACTAAACACAACAACACACAGGACTAAAAAAAGAAAAAACAAACCCCAAAACATAAACATTCAGACTCCCAGACAATGCCCCAACAATAAACTGTTTCCAGACCCCTCTGCTCACCACGCAGACGCCGTAGTGCACATGGGCAGCCGTGACCAGGGTGGTGAACACGCCGAGAACCGCTTCTTCCATGCGGCCCAGCAGCCCCGAGATGGCCGCGTACACCACCAGCGCCAGCGGGAACAGGAACCAGTGGAACAGCTCCGGCCGCGTGCTGCTCATCTGGCAGATGATCACCTTGCACTGTCGGAGCAAAAGGGGCCAGGTGAGAAGTGCTGGGCCAGCCCTGAGGGTCTAAGGGAAAGTATTTCCATTTTTCCCATGGATTGGTTTGGGTGAGGGGGAAAGAAGGCTGCAGTTCAGCACGGGGCTGGTTTCTGGTGAGAAGGCTGTTGTAGGCACACACCTTTGTGCCTCACTGGGTCCTAGAGGACATTATTACAGTTTAAAATACACCCCTTCCTGGAGACAGTGTTTTGATACACTTCATAAGCAGAAGAACATCTTCACAAAAAGGGGAACTTGTTTGCCACCTTATGTTTTCACAGGGGCTCATAAAGTTATGATCCCAAATAAAACGTGCCACCACCTAATTAATCACTGGGAGAGTGTGCTGGTATTTTAATCATGCAGCCTGACAGAAATATCTTCTGGTTCATTGTAAAGAAGGGAGGGAAGACAATATACGACATTTTCACATCCCGTTTCTCTTTTCTAGCACTCCTTTATGTACTAAAACACCAATTTCTTGGCTCAATCATGGCAGTGGGCTCCCTGGAGATGAAGCTGGGGGCCCAGAGAAAGGGATCCCACTCAGAATGGTGGAAAAAACGAATATATGGTGCATGGTTTAACTGAAGACAATTAGCTTAATTCTACTGAGTTCTGGAAACATAATGAGACTAATTCACTTGAAATTCAGTATTTTAAAAGCAATTAAGCACACGAAAGTGTTTTGTCTGGTTTAGGCTCCTTAAGAAATGTGTCTCATATATATCATGCTCGTTATGAAAAAGAAAAGGAATTTAGGCACATCTGAAGTATTTTATTGATTTAAGTTTCACTCAAAACTGAAATGTGGTTAAAAATAGATTTTATGTATCCTGAAAACAGCAGAAGAATGAAAAACTCATTCCCTGTGCAGTGCCTGAAATCTCATGACAGCAGCAGTAGGAGTCTGACCATAGGAAAGAAATACTGGCTTTACTGCCTATGCTGTGGAAGCTGAAGAATGCAAAAATAAACCATGAAAAAATAATTAACTTTGAATAGTGGAAGAAGTCAGCCTTTGTACCTAATGTTAATATTTTCACTTACATTCTCAGTATTGATTGTGAATTTTTTTAATAACACTGGTTTTATGAGTCCTTTGGGAGTCATTCCAGAGGGTAACATAAATTGCTAAAGCAATCCATAAGCTATAATTTTTCTGCCTACATAACTGAACCTGACCATAGGTTGGATCTCACTTTGTTTTAAACCATTTTTACACTTACATATTTGGGTGACCAAATACATGGTCTAAGGCATGAGAAGTTCCAGAACTTCTGGGATGGCAGGTAGAGAACCATGGTCTGCAGTTTGTGGTCTGCAGAACAGGGAATGGAAACCCAATGTGTCAGGCTATCATGGAGAAGAAAAGTGTTGCCATGACAAGCCTTCCTCTGATGCTGGAGGAAACATGTCTAAGGAACCAGAGGAGGTGAAAGGAAAAGCAGGCTTGATTTTGAACTCTAGGATGTTACAAATTCCAGCTAACACCCATACATTTTTAATGCTTGCTTTTAAAATGTTAAAATTTTCAGCTATCATGCATACATTTTTAATTCCCACGAGCCTCCAACACTGCAGTGTATGTTTTGGAAAAAGAAAAAACAAAGCCTGAAGAATATGTATTGCACTCAATCTCTGATAAACTGCAACCTGTAAAGAAACTTCTGGTTTGCCTTACTATTTTTCTTCTGCAAGCATCCTGCCACAATCACTCTTGGTTGGTTAAGATGTATGTGCAGAATGTACCACCTGCCAAACTCTGAAAGCATTTTCCCTACTGGCATGAAGCAATTGTAGTTCTCATTTTGGAATCCCCACTATTCTCTTAAGGAAAAGGGGTTGATTACGTAATGAATAATGCATACAATAAAACACATCTGAAAATCAACTCATTTTTGCAAGATTAAGTCATTAAGATGGAACTGTTTGATTTGTGACCCTCAGAAATGTACATTTATAGGATACATCTAACAAACATCACAATTATAACTTTTTTTCCAGTCCTGAATTCATATTTCTAAAGGGGTTACACTTGCTCTTTTAAAACCTCCATTTTTGAAGATCTGTCTCATAGTACAAGACACTTCTAGGCTTCCACTTTTTAAACTGGATGTAGCATTGCTCAGTGGCAAGATTTGAGGTGGTGTTGGAGACTATTTTCCTAAGATGACACTAGTCACTATCCTCTAGGGTATTTTTGCTTAAATGCAAGAACACCTTCTGCTTGGCTGCTCTCCTGGCTTCCCCCAGAGAAGAAAGCCCTGGCTTACCTGCAGGGCTCAGCACCACTGTGGGGCTGCCCGTGCTGGAACTGCACAGAGGTTGATGTTGTCCCTTGGGAATGAAAGGGGGCAAACACCACACATGTCATGGTGACAAACAGGTCACCATGACGTGGTACAGGAGAAACTAATCTGTGAGCAGAGAGCCATCATGAGGCCCCTGCGGCTCCTCACATCTTTCCCAAAAACATGCTGTCACTGGTACAGCCCTTTTCTAAATGGTGAAGGGAAAATGCAGGATCAGCTGAACTGCAGGATACAGGAATGCACGGACCACAGTAATGGACACAAGAGCAAGGGAAAGCTACAAGCCTCCCACTCCTGCTAGTAAATCTGTGCCAGCATTGACCTTTCTTTTACTTTGACAAATCCTCACTTCTGCCTGTATGTTGGGGAGTTATATTTCTGGAAGTAAAGCATCCCTAAGGTTTTCATAAACCCTCAGAAAACAAACCAGAGCACTCACAAAAGTGTTCCACTGTGGCAGAGGAGGTATTTCAGTACTGTAAGTGTCCCCAGTCCAGACACGTGTTGTGGTGTATTTGTACGAGATGGTGTAACACAGAGGTAGAAGATCTATGTGACTCTGCTGATTTTAGCTACATTTTCTGCTCCCTTCTGCTTATTCACAGAAAAATAGAAAGCTATCTCTAAATAATACCACCACCTCAAATATACTTACAATAACATTTGAGAAAGCAACCCCAACCATCCATAAAAACAGTCTGGGTTGCTTTGCTAATATGTTGCTTGGAGATAAAACCACCCAGACTGTAAGAAGAACGAACAGCAACAGAGGTGACACAAGAGGTAGCAGTCCTTCATACAGAGAATCATTCTTCAGTGTTTTCTTTAAATGTGCTCTGGAAATAAATACAATAATTTTGTAGAGAAAGGAAGTTTATCCATTCTATTTCTACACAGTAACTTCAAACTCTAGACCAAACTCAGCCCAAGAATTCATCTTGCAACCAGTGCAAATGTGCTAGATACCAGTCATTTTACAAGAAATTGTGGTATACACCAGTAACATTTATTTCTGGGGTTAAATTATACTGATTTATTCACATAGCTCCTGATCAGCTTGCTCACCATTGTCTGGCAATGGACCAGTAAACTCACAAGAAGTGAGCTGCAGTACCCTCAAGCATGCAGATATGCTGTGAATTCAAAATACACAGCCTTAGAGGATGAAGCTTCTAACATGAGACATAAACTTGTTTCAGTCAATACACCCCATGTTTTCAGCAGCAGCAGAGTGGAGCACATGGCTGGCAGGTATTGCTCTTGTTTAGATCTGGAGGTCATGCTGCTTGAGGATCCTGTACATTAGGATTTTGGTACTTTAGTCCAAATACAGCCTAAAGGGGAGGCATTTTGGCTAAGTAGAGCTCAGAAAAATTAATGATACATTGTGTTTTCTTGAATATTTTAAGCTGTTTTTTAAAGGTAGTACATTATTGCATTTTCTGTCAGCTAGGGAAATGGTGACTCTAAGTTCACTACCAACTAAACCATTCCTTCATACAGCCAGTTCAGAAGAGCAATTCTGTGTTTGAAATGTACTGGGAAATGTTCTTTTTAAAATCTTTGAACATATGTATTTATGGAAACAGCTAGACAAAAAATCCAAGAAATATCTTTCTCATGCCAAAAAGTAATCACCTACTCCTAAAATAACAACTGAGAAGAGACATCAGGATGAAGAAAGAGAGGAGATGACTGGAAAACTCAAATCCTTCTTCACCAAAGAGCTTGTGCATGCATCATTCAAGCAAACCTGACTGGTAATTTAAAATTGCTGTGCTCTTCTCTTCAGAGGAATGATAAGCCCAGTGGGAGGCTTGAGAGGAACCATGTCAAGTGATGACTTGAAAAGGAAAATACTAAACAAAAGTACTGACAGGAAAGGAAGGAAACCAAACCCCCAGTGCTCACTGGGGTAAAGGCTGCTACTGCCGGGGGCTGACATGCACAAGGTGCTTCTCCCCTCCTCCTCTCAGTCACCCCTGAACCAGATTTCCTTGCATGGCTGGTTCCCAGCCTCCTGCCCCACAGCCCAGCCTTTCTGCAGGTCCTCAGCCTTTCCTGCCCCACATCTCCCAGCTTTCCATGCTTCCTGCCCCAAACCTGGGGCTGTGCATGCTTCTGGTAACTGCACTCAGTACCACCACACAAAAAGGGCTGCGTAGGAGAGATGCAACACTGTCTTATAGACTCTCTAAAATTTAAATGTTAATATTAGTTTCCACTAATTCCTGAAGACAGGCAGTGACAGTCCCTCCTTCAGGACACTTAGGACCTGAGAGACCTGAAGTGACAGATGAGTGAAATGAGCTAGCAAAAACTAGGGGAAGGCAGGCAGCATTAGTAAAATAGGCCATTGGAATATGAACTAACCTAGTATAAAATTCTTGGGTGCAGCAAGCCAGTTCTTAGATGTAATCACAGCTTGCCACCTGCCTAGCTTACATCTGATAGCAATTATCTGCAGACTTCATACAGAGGAGAGCTTTACAGAAGGACCAGGAAGACAATTAAGGACTTCACAGAGTGCAGGATGGTCAGCTACAGAATTCCACCAGGCATTACAGAATTCCAACAGGCAGAAGTTACAAATCGCATTTGATTGCAAATAAAATGCAGTGTTTTTTACTACAGAGCCTTTATCAGTTTACTGTGCAGGACCACTGTGAGACTGCCTGAACAACAGCAAGTGAAAGGAAAAGGAGAGAGTTGTAAACATGAGAAAGAAAACAGTCATATTCTGAAAACTCACCAGAAAAACCTTTTACTACATTATCAGGACAACATCTGGATGAAAAAAGCTAGTCTACTTCAAGCATTACATTTATTTGTAAATGAGGAAACCGTTAAATATACAGAATTAAATAGAAAGTGATAGAACTTATTTAATGTTAATTAACTTACCTGTGAATGTTGTATAGTGTTTGCGGAAATGACAGAAACAAACTGAAGCCTGGAAGAGAAAAACATTAATATGTAATTCGACACTGATGACCTCAGAGTTTTTTCATATGATAACAGACCTTGTGTACTATTCAAAAAATGATTTGGTATTCCTGTACTCTTTACAGGATATGAACTAATGTTGGGGCTTTAGACAATAATAAAACTGTCCTCTGTTTTCCCAAAAGCTAGCTGCTGGAAATAGTTGCTGATACAAAATTTCCTGTGTAACAAGTGACAAGACCAAAATTTTTTTTAAAAAATTTCTGATATAGCTAATAGGATCAATTATTTTTCATACAAGTTTGTCTGCTGGACCCAGAACAGCCCTACTTTTCATGAGCTCCTGTTTATCTAGAAAAATCTGAGTCTAACACCAAAAGCCTTTCAGTGGAATATAGAAAGACAATAAACTTCAAGCTGGGCTGTTCACATTAGTGGGGAAATAAGTTCATAGTTCAAAATATTAAGGGTCAACTAATGTTCTGTTTTGATAATACAATAGCTGAAATTAATTAATTTTTATGACATGTCCAACATTTGAACAAGTGAGAGTTTTTTACTTCTTTTTTAACACAGCTATGGTGTTTCTGGAGCTCAGCTTTAACCCACAAAGCACAAGGGTTTCACCTTTGCTAATGCTGTGTCTCCCTGCACTGCTGCTGGTATTGTCAACCCAGCTGCCAGCAACCCCTGAGCTGCCTGAAGACCCAGCTGTACCCCCTCTGACGCCCCCATCCAAAATGGACACTGGTCCACCCAAGAATCAAAAAAGACTTTCAACAACAAGTGGAAGCTTGAGATTTAAACAAAAAAAAACACTATATGAGTCAGTCCTAACTAGGTGGAAATACATATGACTTTTTTAATTGATGTAATTCCCTGTAGAGGTCTTTGGTTTGTACTTTTTCCCCCACTTTCTGTGTATTGAGGGCTTTTCTCTGGTCAATTTGCTGCTTGGAGATTGCTCTGGGTAGCACATTTCTGCACGGCTTTTTTATTATAGGGCATGAGACTTGGGTGTGGTGCATTAAATTAATACTTACTTCCTATTTTATTATGGGCAAGAAAAGCACTCTGATGTGTTAAACTTTCTGGTTTTGACCAAAAATAACTCCTTTAATTTTGTACAGGCACTGTGCTGCCTGTACAGAAAAGCAGAAAACTTTAACCTCATTATTAGCAATAAGGGGAGAAAAAATGAATAGAGGAAAGAAATTATTTCAGATGACTTTGCACTGGGGCTAATGTGACATAGCAGTGTCTTGAGAAGTGTCAGTGTTTACCCTTCAGTCCTCATCAAGGACATTCCCAAGTGTTCAGCATGCCCTGGCCACAGTGGCAATGCAAGAAAAGGAAAACTAAACATGAAAGAAAAATGGAGATCAGGATTGCTGGGTAAAAAAAAAAGAAGTAAAAAGGGATGCAATAGGTAATCTGTCTCTCCAGTCTTTCTGGTTATCTGCTAAAGAGAAGGAAACAAAGAATTGGAAAAAAACAAAAAGCCAGCCTGTAAATAATTTCAGGTATTGCATTCTTTTTAAAGTCTACCTTTTGAGTCTGCTTCTTAAAATAATTAAGAGTTCTTTACCATGGCAGAAACTCCCTATCAAACAGCTGAAGGATGTTGTCTACCTTTTGAGTTTGCTTCTTAAAATAATTAAGAGTTCTGCTTCTTTACCATGGCAGAAACTCCCTATCAAACAGCTGAAGGATGTTCAATTGAAGTAATATCCCAAGTATTTTGTCAATATATTTCTAGAATTCACAGGCTTAGTGCCTTCAGAGTGATCTGTGTTTAATGTGCACTGCAGTTAGCTATGTTTCCTATTAGGCAGGGAGCGTTAGTTCAATAAAATCTTGAGTTACGTACAGCAGTTCCAACATCTGTATCACATTAGAGCAGACATGAGACAAAACATTGACTCTTGAGGTTAAATCTAAATTTCCTGCTGCAATCCTGAAGTTTGATTTGTTAGGAGAAAAGCAGCCGAGAGGAACAGAAATAGAGACTAGAACTAGAAATAGAATTCAAAGAGCAATGGTTGCCAACAATTTGTTATTTTTATGAAGTGCCATTTTAGATAGAAATAACACACTGACCACAAACAGTCCCCCAGCTAGCAAAAAGCCACTTTCCAAACGGGGCAGTTCCACCAGTTACTCCCCTGTATTTTTACACGGCTTTGCTTTAAGCACAGAGAGAGAGCTGAGGATGCAGCAGGGAAAGCAAAGGGTGTTCCCCGTTTCTTATGGGATTTTCAGAATTCCATCATTTCCTACAACATGTTGCTTTCCCATCTTTTTTTAGCTAAAGAGGCCTGGCTTGGGGGCTGCTTTTGGTCCTCATTAAGTCTGCTGTTTAATTGGCATTAAGGATCCCTTTGTGCCCAGGAGCTAAACTGCTGCATCCGCATTGCTGCCATTCCCTGCTGCTCTGAGGAACAAAAGGTGCAGCCTGGAAAGCAAAGCCACTGCTGGCTCTCTGGCGCTCAGGCACCCAGGCACTGCCCAAGTGAGGATCATGGAGCTTTTTTGTTTGTTTGTTTGTTTGTTTGTTTTTAATGTCCTAAAAGTACATATTTTATTTTAAAATAAATTTTAAAATTCAATTTCAGCTCATTAGATTTTTTAACACATATGGGAAAATATAACTCCTCCAGTGTTCTTAGAGGCAGTATACTGCTCTTCCAGGATTTTTTAGTTTCTTCTTTAGTATTTTCCCATTCTTCAGCTGATTTAAAATCTGAGACCCAACTGTAAGAACACAGGCCTATATTAAAGGCAGAAATACCAAAGCACAGATGGGTGGCACAGATACACAGGGAATTCTTGTGTCACGCCAGGCTGAAAGTATCAAGCCCAAATCCTCGGATTTAGGTACAATCCTATCGTCAGTCCTCTGTGCTGCACAATGTAAACTCCCTTTTCCGAGAAATAAACATTTTTAAAGCTCTTTATTAGGAATTATTTTGTCTATATTAAAAAATGTCAAACATAAGCATAAACAAATAAATCCCAATGCATCCAGAAATTCAGGATTAAAGACATATCCAAAGTGAAGAAGTGAAGGCATTATCTTGTTTTCCAAATATGTACGTGTATAAAAGCACACAGATACCCACACAGACATGCATATATATATGTGTGCACATATATATATACATATGTATGTATGTATGTAAAAGAAATCAAAAGGCAATTCCCATCAATCTTAAGGACGACTTTAGATTTCATTTAGTGCTTTCAAATTCAATTCCAAACCACTAAAAGGTTGTGTGATACAGCTGAATAAATTAATAATAATTTTAAAAAGCTAGGACACGATGGATACTGTGATACCTTGTCACCCATGTTATTTGGACAATTTTAGTTATGTGAGGGCATTTTAAATGCTCATGTAACTAAATTTAAAGACTACTGAAGATCTACAAGCAGACAGGTTGTTTCCATGACATGCTGCAGTTACTGTGGCTGTTGTACATGATTTAATTCAGGCATTTCTGCAAAATACAGACTTGGTCATTGTAGAGAAAGAGAGGGTATGGCCAGGAACAAGCTGCTGACACTACTGTCAGCTCCAGAAAATGCTATTTCAGTACCCAACACCCCATGCTGGCACTCAGACAAAGCAAACAGCCTGATGCAGGTAGCCACATTTCTGAAAACACAAAACCTCACAGACTGTAAACACTGCTAAATAAAGAAGTGACTCCAAGACACCTAAACCACTAAAAGTTATAGTGCTTCAAAGGAAGGACAGCCTTCGCTGTTTATCTTCTCCACACCTTTGCAATCATAAATCCCCTTTGTCAGTAAATTCTTGACAAATGAGTCATCCTTAAACTGTCCTAAGAAGAGCACTGTAATTTTATTTGTTAATAATTGGCTCTCCTGATAGCTAAAAATCAAAAATTCAAAAACGAGACAGTGAGATACAGAGAGGTAATTTTAGGTGAACACTGCATTGGAAATTGTGTGAATTTGTTCAGGAAAGCACCATCCCTGCCGTGATCCTCTCCCCCAAAAAAATACTCCCCAGAGCACTCATGCCATTTGGGAGGCAGGGAAGAGGCTGTGCAGACCTTTTGGGCACATCACAAAGTTGACCAACTCTCTAACAGCAGGTGGTTGTACTTGCATTTCAGCTAACAAATTAAATACTATCACTCTCCTCATTCTTCAAGTGCCCACACCTCTGCATGGCCTTCTTCACTGCACTGCTTGGCCTTCCCATCTCTAGATTAATAATTCGTCATAATCAATGTTTACTGTAAAGAAATGGGATGTTATAATTTACCTTTCTTAGCCACCAGACAAGAAAAATTAGATTCAAAATATCCAGGCCTCAATATTAGCTTGGAAAATATTTAAGTACTTTTCCCATGGTGTTTTTCTCAAATTCTTTGCACATTTAGAGCAGCTAGACACATGAAAATATCTTAACACACTGAATGTTTAGCACACTGATCAGTGCCTGGAAGCAAGCTTCATCAAAAAGTGAACATTATAGGAGCACTTGTTTCTGGAACAGGAGCTTCCTATGGACCTTTTCTGGCATGTCTTGAGCAGACAACTCTTTTAATTGATTGTGCAAACACATAATTGCATTTTGAGCTGTCCACTAAAAACCATTATATTTTATTACTATGTAAAATGGCAAACTTAAAAGCACTTAGTAGTTGAGGGGGGAAACCTTAGAAAACAAATATATAATTTGCAGACTTAATTGAGCCTGTAAAGTCTGAATACATTAGGATGAAAAATACACCCAAAATCCACAGTATGAAATGATTTTACAGGGATTAAGGGAACATAAGGTGAACATAAGCACTGTCTTCATGAACAAAGTTGATAGAGGTTTTGGATGTTTGGCATCTAAGATATTTTTTGAGTATAAAAACTGTAGAGGGATGCTTTTATCATGCTTGTTGACTTTACACCTTATTTTCAGAGTCCAAGGAAGTACACATGGCATTTATCTCAAACTGAGCTGTAAGATAACAATTA